CCCCCCCATCCAGAGGTTTTCCCCCCATCCAGAGGGTTTCCCTGCACCGTCTCCCATCTCTGAGCCTCTCTAGAAGGGACTCGGTGCCTCAGCCAGGGTGAACAAGGAGAAGCTGCTGAGCAGCTCGTGATTGTTGGTTTTATCCCCCTCCAGTGACTACCACAAGAAGCAGAATGCTCTCAGAGCGCTGCAGAAGAAAGCTCTGGACAAGAACCCCGATGAGTTCTACTTCAAAATGATACGTGCAGAGGTCAAGGTGAGAACCTCCACTGCCTTCAAGCAGGACTACCCTTTGTTGCTCTAAGTAACACTTTCCCCCCCTACCTTGTTCTGGTTTAAATTTATGACTTATTAGATAAACGACAAAATTTGGTTTGGTGCCTGTAGAAGGCTCTGAAGAAAATGAGGCAGAAGGGACAAAGTTCTGCTGTTAGCAGGCCCCACAGTGCTCTCCAGGTGGGATGGACTGTCTGTAAGTGCTGTGTTTGTCTGCTTGTAGGATGGAGTCCACGTAATAAAGCAGCCAAAGGATGAAATTACCCCAGAGCAGGTGAAACTGATGAGGACACAGGATATTAAATACATAGAAATGAAAAGAGTTGCAGAAGCCAAGGTAATAACTCATATTTTTAGTGTTTTCTAGTTTGCTCAGAATTGTTTTTTTACTGTGTTGTACTTGCTGGTGATGCTGGCTACTGTGTTTGTTCAGTGAAGTCTGATTTGTACAGTGCTGGAAAGGACAATGGAAGTGCCATTAGAGTGCTGGATGTAGAGCGTCAAGGTTTGATGGTAATAGAAAATGACACTGTGCATTGTTATAAAACAGTGATTTTTACCTAAATTTCAAGACTTTATAAACGTTTTTCTGCTTAGCATGTTTGTAGTGAAATAATGGAATCCCTAAGGTTGGAAGAGTGCTCTCAGATCATGAAGTCCAGCTGTTCACCCATCACCAGCACCGTGGTCACCACTAACCTGTGCCCCCCCAGCTGCCACAGCCACACACCTTTTGAACACTTCCAGGGATGGCGATTCCACCATTTCCCTGTTCCAATGCCTGACTACCCTTTCAGGGGAGAAATTTTTCCCAATACCAAACCTGAACCTCCCCCAGCATATCTTGGAGCTGTTTCCTCTTGTCCTGTCACAGAACCACAGAATTAACTATGTTGGAAAAGACCTTTGAGTTCATCAAGTTCAACCTATGACCTAACACCACCTTGAAAGCCAGATCATGGCACTGAGCATCACATCCAATATTTTTTTAAACACCTCCAGGGATGGTGACTCCCCCACCTCCCTGGGTAGCTCATTCCACTGCCTAGAGATTTTTTTTTTCCTAAGTCCAGCCTAAACTTCCCCTGGCACAGCTTAAGGTCCTCTCATTCTGTCAGTGGTTGCCTGGGAGAAGAGATGACCCCCACCTGGCTACAGTGCCTTTCAGGGAGTTGTAGGGAGTGATCAGGTCTCCCCTGAGCCTCCTTTTCCCCAGGCTAAACAGCTCCCTCAGCCGTTCTCCATAGGATTTATGTTCCAGACTCTTCGCCAGCCTTGCTGCTCTTTGGGCACATTCAAGCCTCTCATTGTCCTTCCTAAATGGAACAGCCCAGAACTGGACACAGCACTCAAGGTGCAGCCTCACCGGTGCTGATCCAGGGGAAAACACTTGTAACTTGAGAGAGCTGAGTAACTGCACCCTGGCTACGCTCTCCTGTCAGGCAGAGAATGAGAAAGTCTCCCAGCTGAGGAGAATGGTTGTTGGAATATGGTAGGCTGGCAGTCCACCAAAATACCATCCTCTTCTGAAAGTGTTGCATGCTCTGATGTTGATTCACAAAACAGAATTCTCACTGGGGATAAAAAAATCAAAGCCAGCTTTAAACTTTCCTCCATGCTTTTGCTGGTTCCATGGCAATCATTCCCCTTTGCCAAAGAGAGGACTCAGTTTTGCAGGTGGATGTGTGCGCTTTGCCTGGGTAGCAGCAGGAATCACTGTGACCCTCTGGAAGGGTTGTGAAGACAAAAACATAGGCTAGATGTGTTTTCAGAGATGAAAAAAGGAAGGAGGAGTTCAGCTGTTTGTAACCCCGAGGAACAGACAGAGATGTCCTCGGGGGAGGCTTGATTTTACTCGCTCCGGATTTGGCCAAACTTGGACTTTCTGTGCAGAAAATCGAGCGGCTGAAGGCAGAGCTCCACCTGCTGGACGCCGCGGGGAGCAGCGCGCGCCGGCACCTCTTCTTCGTGGACACGGAGCGGGAAGGTGAGACCTGAGCTTGTTCTGTCAGAAAAGAAACTCACTTTTATCTTTCAGGAATAAAAATTCAGGTGCTCTAGAAATCCCTCTTGGTTACTAGCTGAGGCATCACTTCTGCAGGAGTTGTGTTGCTGATTGTAGCAATGTGTTTGGAAGATTTCCTTATTTCAATTAGTTTATTCCTAATTTTTTTTTTTTTTAATGTATAGTTAAGGAGTTTGATATTGCTGCTCACCTGGACACCCTTCCTGAGCTGGTAGATAGAGTGTACAACCGACCAACCATTGCAACGCTGCAGAGAGAGGCAGTGAAGGGACCTACTGATCCTGTCCACCTAAAGGTACTGCTGCTGTTTGTCCTACTGACATGTACATCTTCTGTATGACAAGCACTAAAAAGGATTAATTGCACCATTGTGGAGGAGAACAAAACTGTGTTCTTAAAACTTATTGGTGACACAAGGCAGTAGTGGATGTCACTTAATCACCAAGTGACTGCCTGGAGCCTGCAGTCACATCTTCTAGACTAACACAGTACTCTTTTACTGCATCCCAGTCCACTGTGAGTGGACCAACATAAGTTGTGAAATACAGGCCAGAAAAGAGATATTTCTCCTCTGTAAAAGAACATATACCTATGGGACTATCTTTTTATTAGACTGCTGTAGTTTCAGGTGTAATTTTTTTCAGCATCCAGTGTTAAGTCTTTTCTCACACTTCCCCAAAACCCCTTGCACTCCTGAATTAGGTAAATAGGAAGAAGCTTATTCCAACACAGATGTCTCTGTTGCAATGTTCCTGATCTTGCAGTATTTTTCAGTTTGGTTCTGAGCCCAAAGTGGCTTGAGATTTGTCTCCTCACTTTCCTTCCTAAAGCCATTTAAGCTATAGTCTCACTTCCTGGCTTTCCCAGTTTGAACTCTTCCATGATTCTTCAGCATGAATTGCTTATGCAATCAGCTTTGATTCTGATGTTTTAGTATCACACAGGTAGCTACAGTTGGCTTTACTACTGTAGATTCTGCTTAGGTAATTCAGATTTGTTGGAAAGTCCTCTGAGTACAAGTTGGTTGTGTGTAAGGTAAAAATAGTTGTCTTAAAATTGCCGACTGGTGAATTTTTAACCTGTTTTTTCTGACTCAGATGTCAGATAATAAACACCCTGTGGTCCCTTTCCTCCTGCCAGCTGTCTCAGTTTGACTTGTCAGGAAAGCAGTTGGACGAGTCGTAGACTGACTAGTTTTCTCCTAAATGTCTGAGTCATATTTTAAGCGTGTTGGGATCTGTTCTCCTTAATTTAATTACTTAAATCACACCTGCAGGAATACTGTTCCTGTGCTGGGAAAGCTATCCACTCTCATTAGGCAAACTTGACCCAACAAGTTGCATTTTGAGAGGCCTCTGCAGGCTCTGAGCACTTCAGGAATTGGTCTCTGGTCTGTCCTTTTTTTTTTTGTTTTCTGTCCTCTGGATAAAGTGGATTTTCATTAGGAAGTCAAATTGCCTCATTTCTTGCATTTGACATTGAAATTCAGAGGATTTAGACCACAACGTCTTGTTCATCTCTGTCTTAAACCAGCTTTTTTTTTCCTTGTTTCCAGAAATTAGCCCAGCAGAGGAAGAACCAGTATGACCTCCTGAGGCAGCGCATCGAGAGGGAGAAGGCCATGTTTGTCATCTCCCAGAAAATCCAGACACGGAAGGATCTCCTGGTGAGGGGTTTGGTTCTGTTCTGTTCAGGTCATTAGGTCTGGTCTTGTGTGTGTTGTATATGTTGTATTTGTTTCTTCATTCTGGTTTTATAGTGACACCTGCAGATAACTCCTAAAGATAAGTAATCCTCTTTAATATGGAAAAGCAAGGAGATGAAGCATTCCAGTAAATTATATCTGCTAGTCCAAGTCTCTCCTTGTCAGCAAGGATAAAGACTCAGCTGTAAAATGGTCCTCACAAGGAGCTCAGAATAGTGTCACTAGGAGTCAGAAGCAGGGAACCTTTTCTGTAAGTTACGAGAAGGTCTTAAAAATCCAGATGACCACAGAAATTCTTTGTCTCAATGGGACTTCTGTTCTCTGGTGCTTGTGAGCAAAGCAGATTGTGTCTGACACCCTGAAGGGGAAAAGAGCAGATAAAAATTATAATCCCCACCTAAACAGTGCAAAGTGACCATTTTTCTTTTGTGGTCAGACCTAGGGATTCTCTGATTTATGTGGGTGTGGGTTTTTCTCCTTGCATGACAGCAAATATTTGTACTTGTTCTTTTTTCCAGGACAAAACTCATAAAGTAAAGGTGAAGAAAGAAACAGCGACTGGTCCAGCTATTTACAAATTCAAGTTTCAGAGGAAACGTTAGCCATTTCACAGAATAATTGTTACAATCTTTGCTCAGAAAGGAGGAGCCATATCTCTTGGAGAGGGAAGGTGCCAGCCTGCGTTTGTCTGCAGCTCAGCACTTTGCTGAAACAAATCACTGTGGGCCTGTGGCAGCCATCAGTGTGTTTCATCTAATTAATTGATTAATAAATCAGAGTTTGTTCTGTTGATGTTGATGGTGGGAAGCCATGAGATTTGCCTAAGTGTCCTGGTAGGATGCACCATAAACAATCAGTGAGGTCCTAGTGGGGTGTTAGGGAGGTGGGTTAAGCACAGCCCAGGGACAGGGAAGGTACTTGGGCATTGTCAGCTCTGGGGCTGAGCAGGACCTGTCCAAACCTGAGGGTGCAGCTCAGCTTTTTCAGCTGTCTTCAAGCAGGCTAGAGGTGAATTACTCTCTTAATTCCCCAGCATCCCCCAATCCCTCTCATTTCCTATTTGCACTATTCCATCGTGTGCTTTTCCTCCAGAGTTGCTTCAGTTCAAACTGAGGCAGTGCCAAAGTTCTGTGTAAGGGGAGACAGTGCAGCAGGTGAGTGTGGGACAGGAGTTTGTCCTCTGGGTTTTCCTTGGGCCGGCTGCACTGCCAGGGGTGGGGGATGATGTGCAGACACATCCTGAGTGTCCTGAGCAGCCCAGGCACGTTCAGAGAAGCCTCCGTGTGAACATTCCTCTTCTTATCTCTCCATCGCCCTGTCGCTGCCAGCAATAAACACATGGTCTGCAAGTGGGGGAGAAGAAAAAGATGCTCTTCTCAGGCCCTACCTACTTTGGAGCTTTTCCAGCAGCTGGGTGATGAAACGGTATGTTTTTATGTGCATAAATGCAGCTTCAGACGTTTTTCCTGCCATCGCAGAGATAACTGGGGAGAAAATTTTTCAGGGGAGCATTCATGGAGTTCTGCAGAACCGGGAAACTTCGGATTCTGTAGGGGCCGGGTGAGCGGGAAGGGAAAACAAAGCCCCGTGTGTGAGAACGGTTCGGTTCGTTCAAGCAAAAGGAAACAAAGTCCTGGGTGTGACAAGGGTCCGGTTCGGTCCGGTGTGCTCAAGCAAAAGGAGAGCAAAGCTTCGCGTGTGAGGATGGCTCAGCTCGGATTGGCTCAGACGGGCTTGGCTCGGCTCCGTCCGGTCCGGCTCGGTCTGCCCTGGCTCGGCTCAGTTGGGCTCAGCTCGGCTCCATCCAGCCCGGCTCGGCCTGGCTCAGCTCAGTCGGGCTCGGCCCGGCTCAGCTCAGTTGGGCTCGGCTCCGTCCGGCCCGGCTCGGCTCGGCTTGGCTCCGTCCGGCCCGGCTCGGCTCAGTCGGGCTCGGCTCGGTTCGGTTCAGTAGGGCTCGGCTCGGAGCAGCCGCAGTGCCGAGCCGGGCCCGCAGGGGGCAGCAGCGGCACGCGGCGCGGCCGAGCCCGCCCGGGGCTCCGGAGCTCCCGCGGTGTCCCTGGGAGTGTCCCCGCGCACTCGGGAACGTCCCCGCGCACTCGGGAACGTCCCCGCGCACTCGGGAGTGTCCCCGCGCACTCGGGAACGTCCCCGCGCACTCGGGAACGTCCCCGCGCACTCGGGAGTGTCCCCGCGCACTCGGGAACATCCCCGCGCACCTCGGGAACATCCCCCCGCACACTCGGGAATATCCCCCCGCACCTCGGGAACATCCCCCCGCACCTCGGGAACATCCCCGCGCACTCGGGAGTGTCCCCGCGCACCTCGGGAATATCCCCGCGCACTCGGGAGTGTCCCCGCTGTCCGTCACGGGAGGTCTCTTTCAGACTAAGGTTTTAACAGATACATATTTAATCCTTGCCCTTGATTAATCGTACCTGCGCCCAGGGCGTTGCTGCTGGACGGGAGAGGAAAGCAGCAGTTGTGCTGGGGGAGCCTCCAGGAGTTCCTGCAGCAGGAATTGCACAGCAGCGACCTGGCCAGGCCCAGCGGTTGCCTCTGCCCACCTCTGTCCCAGCGCAGAGCCAGTGCTGCCCTGGGCACAAGTGCCCATTCCCCGGAACATTCCCTCTTCCCGCTTGGCAGTGAGGTGTTGCGGATGCACCGGGCAGCTGCGAGGCTTTCTCTGAGCAGGCACTGGCCACACCACTCCTGCTGGGGGTGGTGGTGTCCACTGGCACCTGGGAGCTGAGTTTGGTCATCTCAGGATGGGGCTGGGGAGCAAAAGTTGTGCCTGTTGTGATTTACTTTTCCCTGGGAAACCAGAGCAGTGTTACATCTGTGCTGGTCACACTGAGCAGGCTTCTTGCTGGACCCTGACCTCCAAAGTGTGAGTAAAATCCCATAGCCTGTGGAGTGGTGTATCAGCTTGTGGCCACAACAGACTAAAAGGAGGTGCCAGCTCTTGTGCACAAACATTTTCCAGCTATTTCTGCCTGCAATGATGAAGGATTTGGCAGGTACTGATCTCTGAACTTCTATGTTAGCAGACAGGGCTGACTCACACCTGCTGCCCTGTAGAGTTCCCAGTGGCATCCAGGAAAAAAAAATTCCACACCTTCTCAAAGACCTTGCTCTTTGACTCCCAAAGCCTTTAGCTTGGTATCCTCATACTAAAGCACTGAAATGTTTCTGCAAGCACCTTGTAACTGACTCCAAAAGCCAGCCCACTGGGCCACAGCTCAGGATTTAAAGTGAGACAGGAGTGGGATCTGCCATCCTCTAGCTGGGCCCTCGTGGGGAAGGGCAGCAAGAAAATGCCCACAGCTATTTTTTGTTTGTGATAATTATAGCATCAAAAGCTGAACCAACAGGTTCTTTAGCAAGGAGATTCCCCGCAGCTTGAAAGATACAGATATCAAAATTCTCCAGATTCACAGCTCAGGTTTTAGGTGACTCAATAATATTGTGCCATATAATAATTTGTGTAATTCCTTGTTCAAGTCCTGAAGAACTCAATTGATAATGACTTCTATAAATGTTAATAGCTGACTACACTTGCAGGATTTTCTCTAGGCTGATGCAGCAATATATTTTACTAGCAGGAGAACCATCAGCAGCCCCTAGGCTTCTCAGGTGCTTTCCTGTAGGCTCCATTTTCCAAGACTGGAGAGCACAGTGGGGTCCCTGGGGCATGGCAACAGAATCTGCCTTGCCTGGGGAGGCTCTGGATCACCCCAGGACAGCCACTGTGGGGTGTCCATCAGTGGCCATGTGCTGTGGCAGCCAGAGGGACCCCCAGCACCTCTGGAGGACCCCCAGGCCGCGTTCTTTGAACAAAGGAGAGCAGGGAGGCTTGGTCCCACCCATCCCAGTGCTGCCCTGTGCCTCACCATCTGCCCACCACTCGCCTCTGCAGCATCCCTCTGCTCACCCTGCAGGTGCTGCCAGCCCAGGGCCAGCAGTGGCACCGGGGGCTGGTGCAGGTGTCCCCAGCTGCAGGACTGGCTGCCCTGGTCCTGCTGTTCCCCAGCATCCTACAGCCAGGTTCAGCTGAGGTGTCTTGCCCAAGGGCACCAAGGAGAAAAGGGTGGTGAAGTTCCTCCACTCAAGCCTGAGCAGCTTCACAGCAGGGAGTTGAAAGAGCAGAATGTAAATCAGGAATGACTAATTGCTGCTCAGCATGGCTGCCCTGAACCTCTCTGTTCCACAGCTCCTTGGCCACTTGGACCTTTGATTAGGAGCAACACGGGGCTGCTGATGTCTGGGGAGAGCCTGGGCACAGGGTGCTGTCCCCTTCTTGCTGCCACACCTGGACACAGCCTCCCACTGCCTCCAAACAAAACCTTCCTCTCCAAATCCCATGGCAGGAGGTTTCAAATTAATAAATACCCGCTGCTGCTTCTGTTGTGAGATGCCAGGCATCAAGAGTGAACCCAGGGCTGGGCAAGGTGAGAGCAGCAAATATTTGCTTTGTTGTCTCACAGTTGGGTACCTGAAGCCGTTAGTGCCTTGAGAGAGCCCAGGTGAGCAGCGTTGCTTCCAGCAGGCAGGAGCCCATTATTTAGTGAGAACCTATTCCCAGGATGTCCCTGCCTTGGCAGACCTAAAGACTGCAATAGTGAATTAGTGCATACAGATCATCATTTACTGAAATGCAAGCCCCGATGCACCTTTCTAGGGAAGCACTAATTTATTATGCATTGTTATTAGCTGCAGCAGGGCCTTCATTAGAGCTAGAGTTAAGGTCTGTTTTGGCTGCCTCATCAGCATCAGTGAACTGCGTCCCTGCGAGGTTTGATACAATTTAATTAACCTAATTAAAAGCTCTGATTGCAGAGATGATTGGGGTAGAGCCAGCAGCAACTGCATATTTATAACGAGCTAGAAGGTGTGGGACTGGAGCCAAATGATATGCATCTCTAATGAGCTGGTGCTATTGAAGTGTGGATTTGGAACACTAACATTTATTTTTGGCAACAATGGCCAGTTTATCTTCATGATAGGAACGATCACGGGTTGATTGGGTGTAGCAGGCAGCTCAGCACTGCGCTCCCTGGCCTCCTCCACACCACTGGCAGGCACACACGAGCACCCACAGCCCCCACTGCTCTCCCCCCATGCTGCCAACACCTTCCCCTGCGGGCACAGCAGCCGGGGCTCGCCCTTCACACACAGCCTGGGGGGCACAGCCTGCCCCAGCCCCACCAGGCAGTCCCAGGAAGCCCTGGAAGATGCCAGCAAATTTCCCTTCCCCAGCCACCGTTTCCTGCAGCTCTCCCACCCCACCTTCCCTCTCTCCCAGCCCTCCTGCCCCACAGCCAGGCTGGCTCCTGGTGCAGGTACCCACCTGAGTTACTCCTCCAGGTATCAAATACTCCATGCCCTGATGTGCTGGGCACCAGGCACCCGTGCCCAGATAACAGAAAGCACCTGGAGCAGGGGTCAGCCCCAGCACTGGGGCTCCAGGGCTGCTGCTGCTGGGCTGTGAGCACCAGCCCCTGCCCCTGGCTGAGCCACAGAGCCAGAGCCTCCTGCCCTCCTGTTTAGTGACAGAGAGGCTGCCAGGCCCTCACCCCCAGCAGCTGTGTCAGGACACGGGGGTTCCTGGCAGCCCAGGTCAGGGAACCCATTTCTGGGCTGCAGCAGCTGCCATCTCACAATGCCCCTTCTCTCTCCACATTTCAAGCTGCTAAGAGGAGTCAGGGGTCCAGTGCAGCCAGCAGCAGCAGTGGGATGTCCCAGGCATTCTCAGCAGCCAAGGAACAGCAGCCAGTCTGCTGAGCCACTTGGAAAATTTGATCCATGCTAATT